AGACCTCTCTAAGGCCACGATGGTGAAGGGTCTCTCCTCAGGCTCCATGGGGACAGGCATTGGGGACCTCCCAGCTCCCCCGGAGGAGTCCTGAGCAGCTCTTGCTGGAGAGGAGTGTGGGAGTCCATCGCTCCCTCCGTCACTGCCCTTGCTTGGCAAACTGCCTGCAGTTTTCTTGCACACGTGTTGTGCTCTTGTTAGTTTGCTTCTTTTTTTAAATTATTATTTCTTTAAAGTGTACTTTCCACTTAAAAGAACCTAAAGCTCTGATCCTTCAAATAGTTGAGAGGCTGAATAAAACCTTTGGTTTGTGAGTGTTCATTGCTTCGGGCCCTTGGGCTGTAAGCATTGTTTTGCTGTCTTGTTTCCTTGCTCTACCAAATACTTCCTGTATGACTTCAAGTGGGTCACATTATCATTTACAGTATGATGATAACAGCAGCTCTGTGGCAGAGCTATGGTAAACCTTAAATGCGATATTGGTAAAACAAACCAACATCGATATAAACAAACAACTGTTTTCTGACAATATTTGGTCTGTTATGTTCAAGGGTTTCAGCAGTTTTTTAATGTCTACTCAGTTTACTAATAAATTACATTCCTGGTGGGTGTGGGGCGAGAAACTAGATTTGGGTTCAAGCCTTACTCTGATAGTGTTCACACGTTCAGGATCAAGCGTTTTGTTTTTTGTTGTTGTTCTAAAAAGATCCCAAAACACTGTACTGTGGTTGATGAAGATGTTTTTTATATTTACCTTGGGCACATACAGGTTTGGAGCTGCTTGAGGGTCTTCTGGTAGCATGTTCAGTCAGATGTTTGAGGTCCTGCATTAGCAACTTCACATGGAATGTCATGAACTCTGATACCACCCAGCCTGTCCTCCTTCTCTCAAAGCTGCATGGTCTTGGTCAGGATGTTTCTAGAATTTAATCATGTCAGAGTAGAAGTGCTTACGTTAGTAAACCATATGACAAAGGGTGAGAAGCAACGATGTTACCTGTTTCTTTATTTAATTACATACTTTTAAAGAGTTGGGGTTTTTTTCCAGGTTCTTTCAATGAGGAAGGCTGTCTCAGCCTCTTACAGATTATTTTTCCCCCCTATTGGCTGACAGAGATCATGTTTGTTTATGCAGAAGGCTGTTGGGGAAGGTTACAGCAATATCCATAGTTACTGTGGTTTTGCAGAACTGAGGTCGGAGTCCATCTCAGGCAGGAGAGAGAAAAACACATTTCAAACATTCAGATTCTGGCCTGTTTTATTCATGCACTTTCAGTATGTTCCCATTTATGTCTAAATTTGCCAACAGGATTTTTGCTGTTTGGCTTCATTCATAGAAAGGTGAATGCTTGAAGACCCTTTTCTCTGTAAGTATTAGCAGTCACAACATATATTGTTGTTAGAAGGTCTCCAGCAATGAGGCTGTTTGTGTAGTAAGGACTGGTGCGCACTGTTTCTGGAGCTCCTCTTTCATTACTAGGTAGGGGAAGTATGGAGCAGGTTGAAAATAAGTAGTGTTCTATTGGTGATTGATGATCTTTGCCCATGATGAAGGTGAGAAAGACCAACCTTGGACCACAGAGCGAAGCTCCAAGCCTTGCTGTGGACTAGACCAGTTGGAATAGTGACAATAGTGGTCACTGTGATGGGGAAGCACAGGGTTAAAAACTGTCCCTGGCTTTGCTAGGTGGGATGCGAAAAGAGATCATCAGCTTATTTTTCCTTCTAGTTCCTTCTGGTTTCTAAATCTGTGTGCACTGGTCCAGTGGATGGAGGTAGATGCGTGGCTGCATTTATAAGTGTGTGGGGTTCTTGCAGAGGCAGGTTGTTGTTGGAGGACATTCCCTCTAGTAGGGTGCCTTTGCTTCAGAGCCTCACGTGTGCACTGCAGTGCACTGGAGCCACAGCTCTCTCCTGTTCTGGGATGGCAGGCATCCACTCACAGCCCAGGTCACTCAGCTGCATTTACCATAGAGGACGCTGGACCTACAGGGTGGTAAAGCTGCTGGCCTGCGTGTTTGTGGGTTGCAGGAGTTGTGGTGTGGGGGGCAGAGCAGAGATGCCTGGTCACAGATGTGTGAAACTTGAGGAGGGTGAGTCATATTAGTCCAGAAAAAGTGCATTCCTTATGCCATCTGAGCTGCTTACATGGACTGTCTGCCTGTGCTCTCCAGTACCATGTCAGGATTTGGGTACTGAACAAGACTGCCTAGTCTTTAGACATTGCTCTAAATGAAATCCTGGGACCTATCCAAAGTGGAGTGCTTGAAAGATGTAGAGCATGGGGAAAGAGACAGAGAAAAGGAAATACTGCAATTTTGTCTTATTCCCAGTGTCCTGTTACTCCCCTGCATGTGTCTCTCCATGTGAATGCAAATAGGAGCTGATATTTCAGTTTTCATTTCTTTATCTAAAAATACACCAGCAGATGCTCTTTATTTCATAGGTGGTACTGGCAGAAAGAACAGAGAAAGCCCTATGTGAAATTTATGGAGGCAAATTACCCACCTGGGTTCACCTATGAAGATTTTGGACCCTTGTTTACAGCAGAATTCTTTGATCCTAACCAGTGGGCAGATATTCTGAAGGCTTCAGGTGCAAAATATGTTGTCTTAACTTCAAAACATCATGAAGGTAAGTGGAAGGTTTGTGAATGTTAGTAATTGTTGCATTTCTGTCAACAGAAGAAAAATCCAGGTGACTCTCCTGCCTGCTAAGAGAGACAGAGAAAGCCAGGCAGGCTTCCCTGCTCCAACCCAGACAAAAAAGAAGTAAATGACCCAAGAAATGTGCGTGTGTTTTCCTGACTCTGAAACAAAGCTATGGCCATGAAACTTGCGTAGGAGGAAAAATAGATTGTGCCGTTTTTCTCTTGCTGTAGGTAAGACAGCCTAAAGTAGTAGCGGCAGCTGAGCTTCCTGCAGTAGCCATAGTTTATATTTTATTGCTGTGCAATTTATTGCTCAAGGAACCACAAAAAAAGAATCTGCACTGTTTAACATATGGAGAGCTGCCAAGTACAGGCAGTTAATGAGCTCCATAGGTTTCTGCAAGGATTGTAGGAGTATGTTCCAGAAGTCAGCTTCAGAGTTAGAATGTCCACAGGGTATAGCTCTTTCTAATGCAGCGCATAGAAGCCAAAACCTTGAACCAGGTTTGTAACTTTACAGGCATGATTGACTTTCGGCACTGTAGTTGTAAGATGCTTTGCAGAGAAAAATAAATAAAAAGAAAGTGGTCGGAATGAAATATGGTAGCAAAGAAAGTATAAAATACTAAGATGCAATATGACAGTACATCTAGTGAATGTTGTTGGTCTTTGGGGAGATACGGGTTTAAGACTGGCAACTTGTAACTTGGAAATTTTAATCTCAGCTCTGACACACAGAAAATCTTGATCTTGGTGATGCCCATGGCATAATTCCCAGTGACTTCAAAAGAACCATGATTCATTTAGTCTGTCCTGTAGCCTTGGGCATTAATTTTTAGCTTGTTTGTCAAGTCAATACAATTACATGTGTCCCATTCACAAAAATATTGCATGATTTATTAGGCAACGAGTGTAAAGCAGTTTGAAGGTGAGAGTGGAGCTCCTCTGGTAATGATCTAAGTCTTGCAATACGGTAGTACTTATAAGTGCTTGTGCTGGACTGCTGGATGTCCGAAATGTTAAATTCCTCCTAATAGTTTCAGGCTGATATTTTAAAAGCTGTTTCAGGAGTTTTGCACTCTGCTTATATACCATTGATGGAGCTGTTACAAATGTCAAGGCAAATGAAAAGTGAATATTTGCATACGGTGTAAACAGAAGGAAGGAGAATAGTCTTTGACTGTAAATGATGCCTTGTGCGTTCTGCAACTGAGAAAGCACTTTATCTTCCAGTTGTTGAACGTGTATTCACAGTTCACATTTAATACATTCAGCAAAAATGTAGGTGCCTTGAAAGTTGCTGTATTTTTGGTTAATTTAATTGGGACATATGAATGGAGTGAATAATTAAGGAAAAGGAATAATTATTCTAAGCAGTACAGAACTCGAAAATATAAATCCATATGCATGTATATTAAAAATACATAAATGTATTTGGCATGGTGTTCTCGTGTTATGACTACTGTCATCATGGAGGAACAGATTATGGGCATACTTTATACCATGAGAACAGTATTATTACATATATGATTTTTGTTATTTTGTATTTATTTTTGCAACACACTTGCAAACTGCTTTCCAGAAGGAGGAACTATAACTTATCTTCTTCTGCTTTCCTTTCTTATCCTTCTATTTTTCTCTTTTCAGGCTTTACTTTGTGGGGGTCCAAGTATTCTTGGGCTTGGAACGCTGTTGATGTGGGACCGAAACGAGATCTTGTGGCTGAACTAGCAACATCTGTTAGAAACAGGACTGACTTGCATTTTGGGTTGTATCATTCCCTGTTTGAATGGTTTAATCCTCTCTTCCTTGAGGATGCTGACAACGTCTTTAAGACAAGAAAGTTTCCAACCAGTAAATCGTTACCAGAACTCTATGAAATTGTGACCAAGTACCAACCAGAAATAATTTGGTCTGATGGGGATGGAAATGCGCCGGATACTTACTGGAACAGCACTGGTTTCTTGGCTTGGCTGTATAATGACAGGTACATAATGATGCTGGTTTAGCTCTTTCTCTGAAATTCTGCTCTGTGTCTAGTTTGTCTCATTTCCTGTATATTTTGTGGAACCTGTTACATCTACTTACAACTAAATATTAATTTTCCTGAAATACAGAATTCAAGTCTTCCCTAGAACTGTCAAAGCTTGCTTTAGAAAAAGACTGCTTTATATTTTTTAACCTCATTTGTGAATTAATCAGTTAGGATGGTATTGGCTATTCCGCCTAATCATATTCTTCTCTAAGTATTGTCTGCTGCACAGACAAACAGAATAGCAGGATAATTTGAGAATATGGTACATTGTTGTCATCGCAGACTGAACATCTGTCAGTGGATGTGAAGGACAAGCTGGTTTCTAGCAGCCCTCCTGTGAAAGTTGGGAGCATACTTCCCTAAGAAATCCTGATCTGGACCTTTTACTAGCAAAGGATGAGAATAGGATTCCTGAAATTGCACTTAATCTAATTGTAATAAATTAATAGTACAGAAGTAATCCTAAATGTTAGCTTCTGGGAGGAGTGTGTGTGGGAAGGGATTACACTGTCTGTGACTGTGTTCCATGGAATAAAAGTAGTAAAATTTCTGTGTTTCCAGTCCAGTCAGGGACACAGTTGTGACCAATGACCGCTGGGGAGTTGGAAGCATCTGTACGCATGGTGGCTTCTACACTTGCAGTGACCGGTATAACCCCGGACACCTCCTGCCTCATAAGTGGGAGAACTGCATGACTATTGACAAGAGGTCCTGGGGGTACAGGAGGGACGCGCACCTTGACGATTACCTCCCAATTGAGGACTTGGTGAAGGTACAGTGGGACAAAGGAGTTGCTTGCAGCTTCTGATTCTCCCTCCTGACTATTACACTGTATAACATTTCACCTAGGTATCTATTTTTATAAAATTTATTATTTTAATTGAGTAATGAATTGATGAAATAATAAATCATTTTGCTCATTTGCAACACTGTCAGGATGGAATATCTATGCAATTCTTATTAATTTTATAGAATGACTAAGAGAAAAATTATCTAGTAAAAATTCAGTCAGTTTCTTAGAAGCTATTTCCCCTGTATATAACTGGCCAAAGACTGATCTAGATAGTCTGATAATTATTTTTTCTACACAATTTTTCTATTAACTGCACCTCCAAGTTGATGAGATACAAACAGTTGCAGTTGCACAGTTCCTGTTTAGGAATTCCTGATTGAAGGCTACATCTTTTCCCCCTTCTAGCTAGAAACAGTTTATAACTCTTAATGGTCTTTTCACCTTATAGCAAGAAACCTTCCTTTTGTCCCACTACATTTAAAGAAAAAAACCCACACAGATTGCAGACATACAAATAAACAGTAGCAGGTAACACAGATAGCCTGTGCTCATAGAACGTTGATTCCTTTTGCTAGTCTAAGGAATTAAAAAAAGATTTGAAGCTCAGGAAAACTGAATGAAAGGAAGACTTGTCTTACAAATACAATGCATTTAATTGCAAAATTCAGATAGTGAGGTGACGATTGTTATTGTTGCTTAATCCCAATCTTAGTACTGTCCTTGCAAAAGATGAGTTCAAATTGAAGTAACCTCTCTGCAGAGGCAGAAGGTTTTAATTTATTCAGTAGCTTGTCTCCAGCTGTCTGTTCCTCAGACTTGTGCATCTCTTGTGCATGATCTCTGGAGGGCAGTGTGGATGTGAACACAAATATTTCTGGACTCTAGAAGGCTTCCTGGTGTTTTGCAGATGTGTCTGTAAAATAGGGAGAGCATCAAACAGAGGAAGAAGTTGCTTCACTGAACTTCAGTAAAAATGAATTAGCATCTATTAGCCTTATTTTCCTCTCATGTAGAGAAATCATCTCCTGTTCATTCTATTGGTAAAACCCTCATGAAATTCCTGCAGAAGTTGAAATGTTAAAAACTTGTAGGATCTAAGGTAGGTTCAGTGTGACCTGTTGGTGCACAAATGTGTTTGGGCTGTTTTCTGCCATAAAAGTTGTTGGCAGAACTTTGTTTTATGGGAGCTTAAATTTTGTTGGGATGACCCCCCCAAAATCTAAACATGCTGTAGTAACAAAACTCTTCAGTTCATTGTTCTGGAGTGGTGTGCCTGGTTTTAGAAAGAACTTCAAATATATGATTTAATTAGTTGTAACCATATGCTCTGTGTATATGTTTAAAAACATTTCAGCAACTTGTAGAAACAGTGTCTTGTGGAGGAAATCTCTTGATGAATATCGGGCCTGCTCACGATGGTCGCATCGCTGTTATATTGGAGGAACGCCTGAGGCAGATGGGTGCCTGGCTGAGAGTCAATGGAGAGGCCATCTATGGAACAAAACCATGGAGAGCACAGAACGACACGGTCACACCAGGAGTGTGGTAAGGCTACTGAATCAAAGTGTGGGCTGAATAAAGCAGCAGCAGTGTATGTGAAATTTTGAAATTCCTAATGACTTGCTGCTACAGAAATAAGCAGCTTATGTTGTGTGCTCTGACGAAATTAACCCTTTTGTCACTTTAAGTAACTGCGCATAAAAGTGTGTATAAAACCATAGGTAGACAATGGGTGTCGGAGAACGTCGTTTGAGTTCGATGCTGAGGCTGAAGGGAAGGCTGCAGGCATTTCCTTAGTGATCTTGTGCTTAACTATGTGTGGGAGTAACTATGACTCTCTTTAAGTTGGGACCGTGGTTGCTAACTGGGCTTAGCTGCGGGGGCTGCACCTCCTCGTCGGTCCCGCTGGACACCCTTTTGGGTGACTGAGTCAGCCCCTGCCCCAGTGGGGTTCATGGCTACTAACGCCCTATCAATTGGCTTCACCGACCAATCGATAGTATTTTATTAGGTGTACCAAATTATTTGGTGAGGGTTTCACCCCACCCAACGCCCTGCCCATGGGCTACGATGGGCATGTCTCAACAGTCATAGAGGGGTGCTGTCTGGACTATTCCTCCCTCAATTTGATTTGGCATTATGGGCATACCACTGCAATTGCAGTTTGCCTCAAACTCTACTCAGACATGTTATACAGACCTGATGAGAACTGTGAAACGGGCGAGTTCCCTAAAACACAGCTCCGTAGTGGAAGAAGAGATGGTGCATGGTGTTTTGGAGTTTATTAATGTGGACTGGTTTTGGTTGGAAAGGACTCATTCTCCCACTGTACATGAAGGTCTGACCCATTTACCCGAGGTGTATGACAGTGCAATCCCAATGACTGAATCTGGCACTGGAGACCTTTGCCAGTATTCAGGAGGGACTGAGGATGATGAAGGGGAAACATCACCGCCATGTGACTCAGGCCAAATGTCTCCATCCAGTCCCATCCTGAAACCTACTGAGGAAAATCCGACTGAGGGCACACTGGTTGTGAAAGTTCCTGACAAAATGCCATCTTGTCCATGTTGTGGGCTCCAGGCTGGGAAAATCTCTGGATTGGTGGACCATCTTTGGAGAACTCATGGAAAGCGAAAAGTCCTGTTCCAGTGTGCCTCCTGTGGAAGAACAGAGATGAAACATTGTAGTGTCACTTGCCATTTTCCCAAATGTAAGAGCCCTGACATCGTGGCCCCTGTGGGAAGCTGGAAGTGTGGTGAATGTGAAAGGACGTTTGAGACCAAGATTGGTCTGAGTCAGCACAAATGTCTCGCCCACCCAGTCACAAGGAATAAGGAGTGAATCGCTGCCGCCCGCCCTGTGGAGAGGTCTCCTAGATGGGTGAGCCGTAAATGTTGGACTGATGAGGAAACAGATCTTCTATTAAAATTAGAACAACAATTTAAAGGACAAAAAAATATGAGCAAACTAATTGCAGAACATCTAATAACTAAAACTGCAAAACAAACAAGTGATAAAAGAAGGGCAATTAAGATCAAATCCCCAAAAAGGGGTAAAGTGATTGTCAAGAAACATCTTGCAGGGGAATCAGGAGGACTTGAACATGTGGGATCATCTGAGGATGGTGGACGAAGATCCCATTATTGTATGACTGCCTCTGAGTGGATAACATCAGGTAAATTATCGATCCTTCAGGGTTTGTGTGAAAAAATAATTAAAGGCTGCGAGGATCCTGCCAGGTTGGTTGAGTTGGAAATAGGACAACACCACGCATTCATGATCCCAACATCCAGTGAAAGAAGGCTTGGCCAAAGCAAGGGGAACCCGAAAGAAAGACAAGTTATATTCTGCCACAGAGAAAGTGGATGGAAAGGAGGGCTCTAAAAAGGGGGCAGTACTTACATTTCCAGTGCCTGTTTCATCATGATAGAGCGAAACTGGCAGATATCATCATGGACGAAGTACAGCCCCAGAAGTGTGGTATTCCATTGGCCGATCTATATGTTGCCTTTAAAACTTGATGGGAAACAACTGGTACATTTAGAGGGCTGGGTCCCTTTAAGATCGCTTGCCAAGCAGACAATACAGCTTTTAAAGATCTAATTACGGAACGAGAGATCTCAAAAAACATCAAAGAGATGAAGAAAACATCTGCAGCTGGTCCAGCTGGGATGAAGCTAAAAGATCTTATGAAAGTCGATCCATCTTATCAATATTTAAAAGAATTGTTTAACCTCTGGCTACTTACTGCATCCATTCCTGATGCTGTGAAAGTCTGTCGAACAGTATTAATTCCAAAATCAGCTTTGCCAGAACGCCAGAAGGACATCAATAACTGGCGACCAGTTACAATTGGCTCCATTATATTGTGGCTTTTCTCGAGGATCATGACTCATAGATTGACAGCGGCGTGCCCCATCAATCCATGGCAGAGGGGGTTTATAAAATCAGCAGGTTGTGCTGAAAATTTAAAATTGTTACAACTTTTAATACGATACGATACGCAAGAAGGGAACATCGCCCCCTTGGTGTAACTTTTGTGGACCTCGCGAAAGCCTTTGACATTGTGAACCATCAACATATTATTGAGTCTTTGAAGCAAAGGGGGGTTGACATACATATTATTACCCTGATAACCAACATGTATAAAAATACAAATACCTATATTGACCTGAAGGACAAGCAAACTGCCTCAATCACAATAAAGACTGGTGTGAAACAAGGCGACCCCATGTCTCCTCTATTATTTAATCTGGCTATCGACCTCCTGCTTTGTACATTAGAAAGAGATGGAGAGGGGTTCCAACACTTTGGCAAAAGAATAACATCTCTGGCCTTTTCTGACGACCTAGTCTTACTAAGTGGATCATGGGAGGGGATGGTGCAAAATATCGAGATATTGGAGGCCTTTTGTAAATCAACTGGTCTACAAACTCAGGGGGCCAAATGTCATGGGTTTTATATCAAGCCCCCAAAAGACGCTTATACGGTTAACGATTGTCCATCTTGGGGAAATTATGGGTTCGCCCCTCCATATGATTGAACCGGGCAGTTCGGAAAAATACCTGGGCCTTTCTTTGTATTGACCTTGGAAAGGAATATCTAAGCCAGAACTGCTTTCTGAAGTGACAGAATGGTTAGATCGAGTAGGAAGGAGTTTTTTAAAACCTTTGCAGAAGGTTGACATCTTGAAGGGGTATACCATCCTACGATTGATTTACTTGGCTGACCAGGCTGACGCAAAGACTACCCAACTCGAGACTGTTGATTTAGCTATAAGAACTGCTGTTAAAAATCATGTGACACTATCCTTTATGCTTGAACAAGGGATGGCGGTTTGGGTATCACCAGGTTATTGGGAATGATCCCAGGAATACAGGCCAGGAGGTTGCACAGAATTGCACAATCCTCCGATGAGCTAATAAGATCAATTGCTCAAAATGAAAGAATCGAAAAAGAATATGATGAGCTCTGGATTATAGCTGGTGGAGATAAGGATAAAATACCTTCTATCTGGGAACCGAATACTGTTAAGGTGATACCCACGGACACGGGTGAGGAGGAACCCATTTCAAAATGGGAGATTGCAGTTCCAAAAATAATATATCCCACCCCTTGTGACTGGAGGAAAAGAGAGTTCCATAATTGGACAAAATTAACATCACAAGGAAAAGGAATAGCTGTTTTTGAAAAAGATAACACCAGTAATAACTAGATAATAAATCATCGGGGCATTCCTCACAGAAAGCTCCTCACGGCATTACAATTAAGAGCCAATGTCTACCCCACAAGGGAATTTCTGGCTAGGGGTAGAATGGATATTCCAATTAGATCCTGTAGGCATTGTTCAGCCGAAATCGAGACCGGCGCCCATATTATTGGGTTTTGCATGGCTGTTCAAGAGGTGTGAATTGGAAGGCATAATGAAATATGTAAGGTATTAACGAATGAGGCAAGATTGAAAGAATGGGTTCCATTTGTGGAACCAATAATGAGGGATAAGAATGGTAATCTAAATAAGCCAGACCTTATTCTGGAAAAAAATGGTTGCGCGATTGTTATTGATGTAACCATAAGATATGAAAATAGTAAAACATCATTAATAGATGCAGCCCATGAAAAAGAAGAAAAATATAAACACCTGGTAAATGAAGTAAAGGAACTGACTAATGCGTAAACTGTGAAATTTGCAGGCTTTCCAGTCGGCTCAAGAGGAAAATGGCATGAAGGTAATAATAAATTATTAACAGAATTGGGTTTCTCCTCATCTAAGCAAAACAAAATTGGCCGACGTTTGTCAAAAATGGCATTGTTTAGTTCGGTGGACATTATTCATATGTTTGTAAGCAAAGTGAGAACTGCACCTCTGTAATAATTTCAATAAAAGTATATCTTTTCCCTGCTGATTCCGCCCGGGTGGGAGCTTGGTTTCATTACTGTATAGTAAGGTATGGACTTATTAATTGGATTATACATTCCTATTTGGACTTTCAATTGGTGGACGGGCCACCATTATTTAACCTGGAAAAGGGACACAAATATTTGTGTATGTTTGTTTCTAGCTGGGAACAGAAGCTGTATTAAAAAAATCCAGAAATATAAAACTGCTATGAAGTGTTTGTCTGTACAAAGGAATACTTGATGTCACTGTTCAGAGAGAAAGGGAAAGAAAGGAACTAGAAATCTGTCTAGCATAGTCTGCATTTCTTTTTAAGGTAAAAATGAATGGGAAGAGAACAGCAATTTTGTGGTCGCTAAATTCAGGCAGGCTCTGGATTCTCCTCTCTGCCTTTGTGCTTCATAGCTGCTCTAACACCTTACTGATCCATCAGAGCTTTGGTTTTGACCCTCTTCTCTGCCTCGGTGGGCCTTTTTACTCCTGTTCCCAGTAAGATTTGGCTATCTGGCTTTAGCCTTGAAATGCTGAACTCTGTTGACTTAGAGTAAAACCACTTCCAAGAGCAAGAGAAAATTGTAACTAAATGAAGGAAGGTGGGAGGAATGTTTCAAATGTATGCCACAAGATTTCCAAGGACATAGTGGTAATAATGTCTGCTGAAATTAAACTTTTTTAAAAAGTAGCTATGCAAAGTGGAAGCTTTATTGTCATACATACTCTTGTTAAATTTTTTTAGTGGAATGTCTGTATGTTTGTGTGTAGATGTAATTACCATATTTTTCTGAACATAACCACAGTTATCTGTTAATGATTCCTGC